TTGAGCCACAGGCGCCGAGCCCAGAGATAGCATTTTAGAACATTAAAGGATGGATGAGATTTAAAAGCGTAGGTAACCTATATAGAGTGGAACAGCAAAAGCAAAAGCTTAAAGGCTACTTATGTTAGAGACATTCCAAAGAACAGATTCCATTTAGCTAGAGCTAAATGATATTGCTCGCCTGTAAGAAAACCCGGGGTTTGAATTTGAGGTTGCTGAGCCTTCAGCGCTGCTGAGGCACTACCTCTGAACTTTTTTGCAGGAGGTCCTAGGGAGGCACTGTAGCCGGAGGCTGATCTGGCAGGATGCGGAGTTAACCTGGGGCAGGAGTGGAGCGATTCAGGTACACATTCCCCTCCCTTCCCTTTTCAGGAAATCCGGGTCGGTCAGGCTTCACCGAGCGCGCCCCGGTGGTCCTATGTCTTCCGCATCACGTCCCGGTACGGGACGCGTATACTCCTGTACCGCAGACATCCCTACTGCTCCAGGGAGAAGTACGCAGCCATGTCTACGAAGCTCTCGGCTCTTAGGCTCTATCCCTTTCTGGGTCCCGCCAGCTTTCCCGGGTACATGCGGAGGGAGCCGGGAGCAGGGCCAGAAGCGAAGACACCAGCTCCTCGGCTCCAGGGTGCAACGCCGGCATTCGGTCCGGAGGTGGGGAAATGCGTCGGGCCTCGGAGACCGGAAGTAGGTTTGGTGGTTCCGCTCTAGGACACGGAGAAGAGAAGCGGCCAGTTACGCGAACTCGGTGGTTCCGGGACCGAGAAAATAATGGCGCTCTCAAAAAACATTGCGGTACTCTAGCTTCTTTTACCTTAGAAAAAGACATCTAGCAGCTTGAATGTCAATCTGGTGTTGGCGACCTGGTTTGTTCCCCCTCGAGTTGTTTTCTCTTCCTGCTCCTCTCAAGCGGCCTCGGCAGCAACTCGCACCCATAGTTAAGATGGCCGTGGCCGCTTCGGCATCCGAGCTGAGCGCCGGAGCGGGGAAAGGCGAGCCTCGGGCGCCTGAGAACTAACTGGTGGTGGTGAAGGCTCCAGGAACCGGGAACGAGGTGGGATTCAGGGGGCTGCCGGCCTGACGTCTCCTAATCCCGCAAGAAAGCCCATTCAGTGACTGAGTCTTTTAAAATATATTTTTGGCAAACTCGTTCATTTATCAAAATTTTTTTTTTAATTACAAGGTTCGGAAGAATATTCAGTGACGTCTCTTCGTACCCTATTTTTCTATTAATAGCTTCTTAAATATTCCTCCAGACAGTGTCTAGCCATCTATATTTCACACACTTAACTAGTTCTTTAACAGAGGACACTGTGCCTTAAAGTTCAGTGCCTTACAGTTCGGTGTCATTTTGCTGAAGAGAACTGAAGCCCATTTGTCACCCAACTTCGGACAGCTCGTTAGTGATTCCAGGTCGTCAGTTTTAAACGCGATCCTCTTCCACCGCCTTGCACTGCCTCCTGTGAGCAATGTGAACGCTTCGATTTTGCTGATCCTTGCTGACAACGTGAAAAGAACTGGATTTTTAATTTATGATTTAATTTTTTAAAGTTATGCCTAAAGCCTGTAATGTTAGCAATCTGGGATGCTGAGGATAGAAGATTGCTTGAGGGCAGGAGTTGGAGACCAGCCTGAGCAAGAGCGAATATCCGTCTTTACTAAAAATAAATCAGGTGGGCGTTGTGGTGGGTGCCTGTAGTCTCACCTACTCCAGATGCTGTGGCGGGAGGATGGCTTTAACCCAGGAGTTTGAGGTTGCTGTGAGCTAGGCTGAGATTATGGCACTCTAGCTTGGGCAAGATAGTGAGACTCTGTCTCAAAACATAAGTAAATAAATAACATTAATATTAGTTTACCGTGATTGATCACTGTTCTAAGCGCTTTGGCCTGTTAATTCATTTGACCCTCACAACACTTCAGAAATAGGTACTCTGATGGATTAAGAAGCTAAGGCCCAGGCCACACAGCTAATAAACTACAATATTCAAACCCAAGCAATCTGACTCCAGAAGCCATGCTGGAATGCTTCAAATTATTGCAGGCATTTTCTCAGTTATT